ACCCTCACATTAAATATTTCATTGCTAGCCAACATAATTTGGGTAGCCAGATGAAGAAATAGCAGCACATCAAATTTCGAACACAATATTAATTAGTAATATTGATAATGAACATATCAGATAAATGTGCGCGATACAGAATGCGATTGGAAAGGGATAATCAATATTTCATCAAATCGTTATTAATATGATTTTCAGAATATGATTTCAGAATTGATTGACAATATGATTTCAGAATTCGGAATATGAAGCATAAGCAAACCAAATAAAATTTACCCGGACTTTATTTGAAGATCGACTCATCTAATTCATCATAAATTCTGTTTTCACGATGCCGATGAATGATTGAATACAGAAGCATTCAAAGCAAACTTTTCACTTCGACGGGGAAGAAAGATTTTTATTTTTTTTTTTTTATGCGTGACTTGTTGAAGATGAAGATGATTTGATTGTGTTCAAGATAGAATGCAATTTATTTTCAATTCGTGGCCTAATTGGAATATGTAAATGTAATTAGGGTAGAATAAAAATAAAGTAATAGTTAAACACCCTAGTTTATAATTTTTTTTAATTAAGGGTACTTAAGTACTTACACTAGCTTCTTTTTTTATTATTTTCGTCATTAATTAATTAAGAGGACATGTGGCAGGATTTTAAAGGGGAACCTAATGTTAGGTAGGTACGAAGCTGGTACGAGGCAAATCTGATAATAGAATGCCCCATAAAAATAACGGGTCGTTATATACTGTTTATAGTCACTCAACATTATACCTGTAACTTATCATGAAAACAAGCATCTTATAAATCTCAAAAAAAAAACTCTCCCTAAAACCATATAAACACGGTGATGTTGCTTTTACTAAAATCCTTGTGCACCACACTACAGTAAAGTCATCAATGGGCAATCATCATCGCTCTTTTACTTGAGATTCCTGTAAGCTTCATGACTTACAAGCTTTTCCCTAATTTTATTTTTTATTTTTTTATTTTTTCCCCTCTTGTTGTATAATCAATTACGAGATAGAAACACTCAATAAATCACAAGACATGATGAACAAAAGAAAATGACAGGAGAAAACTAGGCCAGAAGGCAATAATGGGAAGAAAAAGAAAAAGTTGTGGTAAAGTGAGAGGGTTAGCAATGAAGAAATTGTCAGTCAGTTAAAAACTTTTGTTGCAACATCAATTTCAGATGTAGATAGAGAATGATTCACGACACAAACACCGCCCCTTTGACTGCGGCTTGCTCAATATACAAGTTAAAAACATCATGGGAAATACCCAAGAGCGCTTGGATGAGATGGCTTGGGTCTTTTCCACCTTAATCAGTGGTCT